GCATCATCAGCACCATGCTGCGGTAGATTTGGTCAAGGAAATGGTCCTATTCTGATTGCCGATGTCCATTGTAATGGATGGGAAAGCTCTTTGGGACAGTGTTATTATCAAGGATGGGGTATCAATTACTGTTGGCACAATGAAGATGCTGGTGTAGTCTGCGGTGGAAACGCGTCTGTAGCAACCACTTTCCGGCCAATAGTAACAACGTCTTCTCCAGGTAATCATCTTTTTTTACGTCTTACATTTTGTATCAGAGATTATTACATTCCAAAACTCTTTTTAGCAGTATTACATATATTTTAACCCAACTAAAACAACTTTTTCTTTTGTACATTATAGCCCTTGTCCGACTGGTGAACGGCACAAGTCCAAACGAAGGTCGCGTTGAAGTGTTCCATAATGGGCGTTGGGGAACTGTCTGTGATGATGGATGGAATATAACAGCAGCTAATGTGGTGTGCCGTCAACTAGGATTACCTCCTGCGTCTTCAGCACCAGGCAACGCAAGATTTGGACAAGGATGGGGTCCCATTTACATGGATGATGTTCGCTGCTATGGATGGGAAAGATCTTTGGCACAGTGTTATTTCCGTGGGTGGGGTAACCATGGATGATGTGAACTGTAATGGATGGGAAAGATCTTTGGCACAGTGTTATTTCCGTGGGTGGGGTAACCACAACTGTGGCCACGGTGAAGATGCTGGTGTGGTTTGCGGTAGCGCCCCGACCACTGATCCTTGCGATTAAACGCTTTAAAATGCTCAATGTTAGAGAAACTTATATAACTAAAGAGATAACCATTATGGAACAATACTAGTTTGTAGTAATTGAATAAATGTTTCTTCAGAAGAAAATTMAAAGTTTCCACGACTGCATGTGTTTATTGACTTATTATTACCCCTATCCATTCTTCTTAATATTGCTGTTCCTATCTAATTGATAGAACATGACGGGCAGTGTTTGCCTGTCATTGTAGGCTGGTAATGAGATTTGAGAATCACCAACCCTACCATACACACACACCGTCCCCACGATACCACGCAACAAGTGAATCGAAAATAACCTGCGTTATCGAAGTGTTACCACTCCATATGTTACAACCAATCACAGGCCTATCAATGTATTCCAGCCAAAAATATATCTGTGAGATTTTATCGTGCTTCAAAAAAATCATATATCAAAATAAAGTTTTAAACTCAGTTTTCAGAATTTTTAGATCCAATCTGTGATCCTCATTTAAGAATTGGGTGGTAGACCAACCCATCACAGCCCATGCACTTTGACAAAGAATAAAGAAAAGTGCAAGCGGAGGATCATTTAGAAGGAAAGGTCGAATTGGATAAGAAAAATTCCTCGCGCAAAAGTAAGTGGTTTAGGCTCCTCCGCAGGCATCTCCTTGGACCTTTTTGCTCCTTGGGCTTCCTGCGACTTCCTTCTCTCGTTCCTAGTTCTTCTCTGCCATAAAATGTAATACAGGGATCCCAACAGAGAATATAGAATATATGAAGTAGTATAGCCTGCGGAGGAGGCTATAAGTGGTTATGTTACACAGGACGTATTGTATAAGAAAAGTCGTTACTGCGATGCGTAAATTCACGAGTGATAAATACTTCTACTAGGGTGTTAATTAAATGAGATAGCATCTGCAATCAAAGCTATTAATCTTAATCGATCTTTCCGAATAATGGTATCATTTTAAATCAATCCGGTCAGTCAGGATTTTCCTTCCACGTTACATCGTTTCAAGTTACAAATTGAAAGAAAACTTTCTGCAAAACAGCGAGAAAAAAGGCGGAAGAAAGAAATTGAGGAAAAGAACGTTTCTTTAAGTAAATCTGAGTTATAAAGTTTCAACGTTTCTTGAGGCAGGAGCAGGGATTTCCTCGTCCAAAGGAGACCGCTTTTTGCGTCTGTTCTGTTTTGATATAACTACTGCCAGCAATTCTTTGATCTCATCGAATTGCGCATTAAACTGAGAACTAATCGTCAACTGCTGTTCTTCTAGTCTTTTGATATCACTGAGAAGCTGCTCCACTTCGGACGTTGACGCATTGTTTCTGCCGTTTTTGTTCATTTTTGGAACTTTTAATATTTCATGTACTTCGTCCAAACCTTCTTTGATTTGGTGCGTCATACGCTTTAAGTCACCCTCCTCGTCATCCACTATATCATCATCGTAGTACAATTCATCTGGGCAGCATCTGGTATGAATAAAATTAGCAAAGTTTCTTCTTTTCGTGACAGACAGACTATTTTCTAAGTTGGTTATAGTGTTCGCCTGTTGCATGACTGAATTAGCCTTGACGTTGTCGTAAACCCGTTGAAAGGTATCTGACATCAAGGCAATAAACAGATTCAGGCATGTAATCGCTGACAATGCAATGTAAGTTCCGCAAAGGATCTTCGACATGATTGGCTCCGCCTCCGACAAGCCATCGTAATTGTATTCGTCAACTACAGTCATTCGAAACATGCTGTAAAGTAGGTCAGATACTTCTGAGTAACCACTGACGCTGTGGTTTGAAAACACCATCCAGAATGACGCAGCGTAGGGGACGTAAAAAATAATGAAAAGAAATCCAAATTTCAAGACATCAAAGATAAGATGACCACACATGACCACGAAAGGTCCTAACGACGTAAAAGCACGAAAGATTTTCAGTAGCCTTATCCATAGGCATATAACAGTTGCCGACATCACATTCGTATGTATTTTACTCATGGCTCTATAATCTGTAAAAATTGCTACAAAATGAGTGATCATCGAGGCTAGTATCAGAAAATACGAAATCCAATCAAAAATATTCCAGGCGTCTTTAAAGTATGTTGGTTCCTGATGACGTAGAATGTCAATCTCTTGCATCAGGTACAACCTCTCCCCAGGCCACCTCGGGTGGCAGTACTCCAGATCTTTGTAAAGCTCTGCTTCGCGCCACCTTTTCCATCGACGGTGTTCCTTCTTCGAAAAGTAATATTCGAATAGTTCACGGCGTATTTCATTAAGCGTCATTAGGATAGCCACAGAACCAATAACTATTCGCCACCAGCTTTTGCTTATTTGAGTGTAATAATCGTATTTACCATAACCTACGGTTGTCACTCCAAAAATAGTCCACAATATTACGAAGACCACGCCCGCTAGAGATTGCAACCAGGCTCCTCGTTTTCCAAAATGCTCCCATTTGACCTTGATTAATCGTTGGAAGACTGGGTGCATTATGAGATCAAACTGTTTGTGGAGAACCACTACTTCCATGGCCGTTTGAGGCCAACCGCAGCTGAGGCATTTAGGTATTGCGGGCTCAAGGTAGTTAAGATGGAAGAATTGTTTTCGGTTGGCTCTGTCTTTTGAATAGAACTGATCTAAAGCTTCTTTGGCCTATCAAATAAAGAAATATAAAAAAGTTTATGAAGCGTCTAGATATTTGCGGGGATAC